GACCAGACTACACAGCGCAATAACCTAGAAGACGGATATCTTCATACTCACCGCTGTGAGAACCTCAAGTCTTACAAAGTAAGGTTTGGTTGTCGTACCTGCTTAATGTAATGTTCTCTGTTCTCAAGTACGTAGTTTAAAAGACATGTGAATCCAGGTGGTTTACTGAATGACATGCACTTCAGGTTGAGCGAATGGATCGCAAGGAGCAGGAGATGAAGAAACAGAAATCTGGTGGTTGGTTCAGTGGCTGGTTTGGAGGAAGTTCTCAGACCAAAGAAGAAGAGGCCCTTACAGCTGCAGCTATAGGTTAGCTTTCTCAGTGCATGTGTACTTAAAATACAGGGTAACGCATGAAATGTGTACCATTTTGCTGTGACGTTGCTCACGAATTAAAAGGTACAGGAATGAAAACTAAATGCATTTGTGTAGGTTATATGATCAAGTTTTGTGACCTGCATTTTACAGATGTTCAATGACGGAATGGCGTGGCAGATATCTCATCTGTGTTCAGTTTCAGTTTACATGGTTTTAAGCAAGTCTATCGGTGCTTTCTCATTTACAAATGCAGCAAGTGTGATCAGTTTGTACCACTTGTAAATCAACATTTTTGTTTGTGGTTCCCTTTCAAAGACCAAACGAAATCTCCTTTGCACTTTAACTGTGTGAAACTGTAGCACATACGTAGCTTTTCTTATTTGAGATACAATTTTAACAACTGTGAGAGTAGCATTTCAGGTGGAAAGATTTGGAAACTCCAAGTGGCACAAATTATAAACTTGTTCATAGAACGTACTGAAATGCGTTCAGTTTTTGTTCCTTTGGTTTCTGGTCCCTGAGCAATGTTCCAGTGAAATTTTATGTTTTGTGTGTTCATGCTATATTCAGGTATGGTTGCTACAAGTATGTGGCGTAAGTGGGCTGTAGCGTAGCATCCCAATGTGGTACGTTGATTTAATTTTGGTTTTTCTTGTATGTTACTTTTCACACACTCTGTTCAGTCTTTAAACGTGAACAACTTGTTTTGGTCCATTGTAATCATCATCAGCTTCAGTTCCCTGCTTTTAAGTCATTGCACTGAGGATCTGCTCCAGATATTCAGAAATAATGCTAAAATTATGTATTAAAATGTTTTAAATTAGTTAAAGTTTTTGAAGGTTAAAATGCTAAAAATTATTGTAAAAAAAATTTTTTTTAGCTGAGCTTGGTGAGTCACATTGTGTTTTATCTGAGTTGCATGTGATATTTTTTGTTCTGATACTTAAATTACTTCTTATTGCAAGTTGCAGCTTGTAAAGTATCCTTCATTTAAAAATACTTGCCTTTCTATGTTTGCTAGATCCATCATTGTGTAAACCCATTGTACGTATGTTCTTGAATCTTAAAAGCTTATCTGTAACGTAAGTTCCCTGGCCTTGATGTGAGTAGTGTGTGGGGCTAGCGTTGTGGTAGGACTGCTGCCTCTGTGCTCCCAGTCTGGGACGATAACTTCTTTGTGTCATGTTCCCTGGACATGTTGCTTTTTCTTTAGCTGCTAAGTCATACCCACCTTTTGTGGGTTGACTTTTGCTTCTTCCTCACTCTTACCACTTCAACCAGCTGGACAAGCAAGACTTCCTGGCATGATCACTTGGATAATGAGTGTTTAGGCTGTAATTGTACATACCGAGTTCATTGGACCTTATATGGTATTATTTGCAGCAAAGAAGTTTGAAGATGCGATGACACCTGAAGAAAAGATTAAATTGTATCGTGCAATTGATTACCAGGAGAATTCAAAGCCAACCCAGTATCCTAAAGAATTTGTTGAAATTAGCTTGAGCTTTATGCTGAAATGTCTCGCAGTGGAAGTACGAGATGATTCCCTAGATATTCCTCGGGTTCTGTGCACTGAACTGAAAGGTGTTTCCAGTCACATTGAACGACGACCTTCAGCTGATGCGGTAAAGTAAGTTGGGCTTATTAACGACATGCACGCTTGTTTAAGTATTTTGTATTCAAATCTGTAAACAAAGAAGTGTTCGAAGATTTCCGTCTTCTGGGTTGTTGCACTGTGTAGTCTGGTCGATGAATATTCATCGCCCTGATGACGGAGGCAGTATGACCTCTGAAACGTTGGTTAACATTGACCAGACTACACAGCGCAACAGTCTTACAAAGAAGTGTTCATTTACCCAATGTTATGTATCTGTAAATATACAATCACTTGAACATAATACTGTCCTTGAATTAGTCTTTGTTTATGTAAGTATGTACACAGTGTCAATTATTGTTACCTTCAGTTAGTTAGAGTAATTAATGATGTTTTTGATATATTATCCAAACTGTTCATTCTTTGATTTTCTGAACAGCTTCCTTTGAACTTTTTTCCATATGAGGTATACAGTTTGGACTGTGCTGCGCTGTGCATATTAAATGCATGTGTGTACGTGTTTGTATATGAATTTAAATGAGATTTTACATTTCATATAAGGGACTGAAGTTGTACATGTTTGTATATGAATTTAAATGAAATTTTACATTTCATATAAGGGACTGAAGTGTAGGAAAATGTGAACTTCATTTCTGAGGTCTTCAGATTTTCTTCCTAGATAACTGCACATCTGACAGATTTCTTGGCTTGAAATTATATGAGGATGCATAATCTTTAATTGTTTTAGCATAATGGAATAATTCTTGATGTTATTCATCTGTTCTTTGTATATTTTATAGAGTGATAATGCAGCTAGAGGGATTTACAGTATTTGGGTTGAAGCAGAACAACATTATACCTCAACTTGTCTTATCCAAGGAGCAGAACAGTGAAGCTCTGTTGGATGTATTATTTGAGACACACCCTATGGATGATACATGTGATCAGAGGATCCGCGTGACTTCAAAATCTCTGAAAGTGGTGTATGATGCTCAGACTATCAACAAAGTGGTGGATGTGTTCAAGGCCCCAAAGGAAGTTAATCTGTCTCAGTAAGTTCTTGATGTGTTTAACCTTTTGCACTATCACTAAACGTAGCGCACACTTTGCTGATTCTCTTGCTGATGTATTAAGTTGACCTGACCTATAGAGACTCCTGGTATTTCAAGTTTCAGATCTCATATCCGCGTAATTCTAAAGAACCAGCCTAAGTCTGAGGTTCTGTGTATTTACAGAGTGTCGTAGTAAGATTCAGTGTTATTGATTGTGATAATTTTTAATGTGGACTTGATAGCTGTAATGGGAGAGGTGACATCTCAGAAAAGGATAGTGTGTTCAGATACTTGTGTTTTACTTAGGACTCTGCCAAACTTCTAAATTGGCAGACCATTCTTTATTGGTTGTCCGCAATTGCTTATTTAATATATTCACAGTTAGCCTCCGTTTCTGGATGTCTTCTCCTCGATCCACAACTTGAAGATGTGCCATGGTGACAACAGACCCACTTTACACAGATTTTAAATATGTATGAAACAGTAAAGTCAAGTAATGGCCAGTTTAGTTCCAAATATAATTTTGTAGAAGGTATAAACACCTTATTACAAACAAAATATTAATGCTAATGTAAACATAAACGAGGAAGGAAAGATTACTTAAATCTAGAACATGGTAACAAACTGATTGGATGACATACCAGCCCACTAGCCACGTAATCAGGTGACGAGCAAGCCGACCAATTGACTGGCTGACTGACTGGTTTCTCAGCCTACCTTAGGTTGTATTTTAAGGTTTTGAAGGGTTATACCTTGCAAGTTGTTGTGAAACAGTGGTATGCTGCAGTTAAAATCCTTGTGCATATGTTTACTGCTGCACAAAATAGTTTTCTGTGGAATTCTATGGATTGTGATGGCTCACAGTTTGTTGCTTTTATGAAAGTTTAAAATGCCAGTGTATAATACATAATAAATCCCTATTCTATAACTTTGATTGTTGAAGGTTTTTCAACATTTGAGCAAACACTGCCACCCTGCCACATACATTTCTCTCAAGTTGGTGATTGCAAAGTTTTCTGAAATGCGATATTCATTCACTGAGAGTTAATTTGTGCACCAGTAAGATTCAGTGTTATTGATTCTGATAATTTTTAATATGGACTTGATAGCTGTAATGTGAGAGGTGACATCTCAGAAAAAGATAGTGTGTTCAGATACTTGTGTTTTAATTGAACGTGTATCATGTGTTCTATTCTGAATTATTTTTTTCAGACTGCAAGCCACTGCTGAGTCAAAGCTGGCTGACTTCAAGGATATGTCTGCCACGGGACTGCAGTATGCTATCCAGCAACAGAGCGTGATGGATCTGAATGTAGACCTGCGAGCCCCGTACATTATTGTTCCTCATGGTGGTTTCTATTCTGGGTATGTAAGATGCTGTTTGCCAGTCTCTGTGGTGACAGGTCACTGTGAATCACACCATTTGCTAAGAAGAGTTTCAGATAGCATATGGTATTCTCTCTTTGTAATAGTAATTTCCATCAGGAGGTGTAGTCACAGAAGCATTATTTTAAATCTCTTAAGAACTAGAACATCTTAATATAAGCCATGATTTTTGTTCCTTACATTAAAATTGTAGGAATTTAATATTTAGAGCATAATAAATGCTTCGTTATAATGTTATTAGGTCGCAAGTGTTTTTTTTTATTCTGTTTCTAGCAGTCTAGTCACATTATTTGCCCTCAAAATATGGTACTGAAGAGAAGAATTGTCTTACAATCTGGCAGCATATTAATAACCAAAGTGCACAAAGAACAATAATGGCAGAAGCTGTCATTAGAAATACCTGGATACAGTAATAAGGTGGCGACTGACTTGTAACATTTGCCTGTAATGTAACGTGTTACAAATCGAGCATTACACAAGTGAAGACAGCGAACGGAGCCGCTCGATGCCATGCTCGCCGCGAATGTTACATTACGAGTAAATGTTACAAGTCAGTCGCCACCTATAAACATCATTATAATATGAAAGATTATTTTGTGTCATTCCCTGCAGGAAGGAGAATGTTCTGGTTGTCAACTTGGGTAGTGTCAAGATCACATCTATACCCCGTGACCGTAGCTCTCCGAGCGTCCGAGCATTACACAGTCAAGGAACTTCAGAGGAAGAAATAATGCAAACTATGATATCTCAAAGTTATGACCGTTTCAGTTTACATCTAGAACAAATGCAGGTTTGTAAAATGGTTTCTTTTAATTTAAAATGGCATATTTTCAGATGAATGACTTGGTTTAATCAACAACAGTTTATCTCATTGAATTGGCCCATAGAATCTGAAGGTTTTTCTATAGTGTGCTATAGGCACACATTGTTTGAATTCTTAAAATTTGGTTACCTGAAGTTTGTTATGTCCATGTCCATGTTGGGAATAGAAGGCAAGGATTCTGTTTAATACATTTTGACTCAGAAAGTACATTAAAATCTTAGTATATAGTAGACATATTATGAGAAGGAAGAGAAGGAATGGATTAATGAGTGATATCACCGAAGGCCAGGTTGAAGGAAAGAGAGGACTAGGAAGAAGATTGATACAGCTAACCGACGACCTAAATAATGAATGCCAGTATAATGAAACTTCAGTATAGCAAAAATATGTTTTATCCCTTACCAAAGTATCAAAGCACCATACACATTAAACTCTCAGTTATCTGAATAATGAATGGTAAAAGATGTATGAGTAATTGACAAATATGGATAATCCATAATATTTTGTTTGGTGCAGTTACAGAACTACACTCATTACTTTACATTTTGTTATTTACACAGCTGTTATGTTGAGAAATGGTTTTCAAATGGTCACTTGTTTTTGTGACTGTTTCGACTCTTTGTCATGGCAGCATGAATTTTCTTTGTGATTGTAATGCCACTGTATTTGAAGCCTGTCTGACCCATATAGTCTACTAAAGTGTCAACGCATTGTATTACCATGCTATGATTCACACTCCAAAAATGCTAACCTCAAGGCAAATAAAACCTCTATTACTATGTGATTTGTTCTTTGTACGTTGTGTAGATTCTAGTAGCTACTGGGGAAGAAAAATGGGAGGATGCTCTGACCAGCAATGATGTGACACCAATGCATTTACTGCATCCAACTAATTTGGCAATTCAGATGGACAAATGTCTCATCACTGATGATCCTCGACTACCAAAACTCAAGGTTACTGGTAATCTTCCCAATGTGGCAATAAATATTACAGGTAATTTCTTTTTTGGTTGTTTATATATAAATATGCGTAAAATTGTCAAATGTCCATTATTTTATAGGTTGTGCTGTGGCAGGTAAGCAGTGCATTAAATATTATAATCTTGATGTTAACTGGGCAGCTACATTTCAGATAAAATATGTTGAAAGAAGAGATTTCAAAACTTCTGAAAATGTTACAGGATCATACTACAAATACTGCTACAGGTAGCGTTAGGCAGAATCAGCAATCTGTTATTCTTATTTCTCTTGAAAAGTCTTGTAGTAGTATCATTTGATTTTATTTATTGATTTTTTCTTCCAATTCAATATTCATGTTTCGTATTGTTATAGTGCCTTGCATCCCAAATTCCTGAATGAATTAACCTCCTGTCATATTTCCATTTTTGATACATTTTATTGTTTTCGTAATTGTTCCCCTTAACCAAAGATGGAAATTAAACAAGATTCCTTAAATCTGCATAATGTAAATTGAATTGTGGTCTTATTGTTTTTTTCCAGATGACCGATTGTTGTCCCTGATAGCTCTGTTTTCCAGCATTCCCTTCCCGTCAGATGACGAACCTCAACCTCTTCAGGTAACTGATGATGTAATAATAAAATTAGTGGTATTTTTATAGGGGAACTGAATGTATTTCAGCTGTTTAAGTAAAGTAAAGTTTGTCCCACTATACGCCATACAGGCGTTTGGGGTGAGTGGAGGTATAGCTCCTCTCTTCCTTGACCTCGGCACTAGATGGGGGTGAGTGGTCAGCATCACGCCCCGGCCGGCTTTACCCCCGGGAAAGGACCCGGCACCCATTGTAGAGGAGGCTGGGTGGGCCCCAGAGCCGGTCTGGACGCAGAGGGTAAAGGGAAAAACCCC